GAGAGTAAATGTCATGAATAAATTTGACATTGAACATAATCCAAGTTGAAGTGTTACATCATTTTCAGCATCTGCATTTAGTTGCAGGCCAAACTGACAAAGACCATGCAGAATAATGTAGTAGTTTAATTTCACAGCATGGAAAGCTATGTGATCTCTGTAAGTAGATCTATGGAAAAAATATAGGATATCGGCCAAAAATCCAATATTGTGCATCCCTAATTTGTAGGTGTTGAGATTACAATTAAGTGTTGGCTCTCACTCATAGTGGTACTTTACCACTATGTGTTATTTTATACTTACTGGTACATTGTGTATTTTTGTGTAGAATGACAGATATTTGATCCTGACTGCTCAACTATATGACGCTAAAGAAATGGCAACCGATTCCAAGACCAAAGGAGACAAGATGGGCCAGAGGATGGCACAGGACAGAATACGGGTCATACAGCAAGGTACATGTCTGAGAGTTTTAGTTTTCAGTCTTTATTACATTTATGTAGCTCCTCCTTAAACAGTAAAAAATGTCATAATAAATCAAGAATAAATAAAAAACTGAGCAACATAGCTTTTCTTTTAAAACATCCTTTTCCCTCCTGATGTAAAACTGTATTTTCTGTTAATAGAAATGAAACAGATGGAGTCCCATCCCATGTTCAATCCTTCCATCAAAGTAGTGGACGTGCCTCAGAAGGAAAAGAAGACACTTCCTGTCCCCGAGGACAAAGAGGACCTCAGCTTCAAGTTGTTTGAACGAGCAGAGAAGGAGCCTCCTGCAGAGAAAGGTGCGTGGTTAAAAGAACTCTACAGCTTCAGCTCATTATTAAGCTGCCCAGTTAATGCTCCTCAGACCAGTTTAGTTCAGCTCTCCTCATCCTCTCAGTGATGCTGACTGTAGGTTGTGTTGGGTTTTTTTTCTTTGCAGTCGTGAAAAAGAACGAGCCGAAGGACATCCGTAACTTTGATTACACAGCTCGCAGCTGGACGGGCAAGTCTCCCAAACAGTTTCTGATCGACTGGGTCCGAAAGAACCTACCCAAAAGTCCAGCACCTGCTTTTCACAAGGTTGCTGCTGGCAGATACTGGAGATGCAAGTAAGTGTGTGTGTCCCAAAAACAATGAGCCATACGGGAGGGAAACAACCCAGACGTTGTTTTTATATCTTTAAAATCATCTCAACTGGATTTACACATATCTTTATGTATTTGTGTGAATCAGGGTGCGAGTTCAGAGAGCAGAAGATGTTTTGGAGGTTTGTCCAACCATCCTGACTGAGGACAGCATGCAGGCGCAGCATCTGGCTGCCACTCTGGCTCTCTACAACCTAGTTAAAGGGCAGGTAAACTGTGCCGCAGTTCCATTAACTCCATGTTTTTGCTCACTTTTTAATCTGCACCTTCTTTTCCCCACTCAGTCGGTGCATCAGCTGCTCCCTCCGAACTACAGAGACGTCTGGCTGGAGTGGAGAGACGACGAGCAGCAGCAGCAGGAGGCGAGCCGCACCGCTGCCAACAAACCTCGAGACCAGTTCATTTCCCGACTCCTGACTAGGCTCAAACAGCAGCAGCAGGACCAGAGTCAGGGACAGCAGCGTGCGTCTCAGGGACAGCGGGGGCTGAGTGGGGACGGTGAGGACGAGCCTGAAGAATCCTGGGAGAACCTGGCTGGTCTGGATATTGGCGAGAGAGGAGCTGAAGTGGAAGAAAGGAGTGAGAAAATAGGGAGGATGGGAGAGGCGGCAGCGCTCGGGGCAGCCAGAGAGCTCTTACTGAAGCAGAAGGAGTCTCTGCTCGCCCTCAAGCTGCAGGTAAATGCATTTCTTAATATGGATCACTTTACATAAAGCTTCGTTTTGAACAAAACTTTCATCTTTAAGGCCGAGCGAGAGCAGCTTCCAGTCTTTCAGCACAGACGCCGTGTCCTGGAAGCTCTGCGGCGCCACCCGGTGGTGGTGGTGGCCGGTGAGACGGGCAGCGGGAAGAGCACCCAGATCCCTCAGTTCCTCCTGGAGGAGATGTTGACGCAGGGCGCCGCTCCTCAGCCCTGCAACATTGTGGTGACGCAGCCGCGCAGGATCTCAGCCATGAGCCTCGCGTGCAGAGTCAGCCAGGAGCTGGGCAGCGACGACGGACCAGGATCCAAGGTGCATGTGTTTACTATGCTCCACCGTGAGCACAATATGGCTTTATGAGATGTGCACATCACTGCATTCTATTTTTATTTACTTTTTACACAACATCCCAACGTTTTCAGAATTGACGTATTTTAACAGCGATGTCTTGTGTTGAATTCAGTCTTCGCTGTGCGGATACCAGATCAGGATGGAGAATCAGTCCGGGGACTGGACCCGCCTGCTGTACTGCACAACTGGAGTTCTGCTGAGGAAACTTCAGCATGACAAACACCTCAGCTCTCTGACCCATATCATCGTGGATGAGGTGCTAACAGCTCATTAAGCACAGTTTTTAGACTTTCTTTCCAAACCTTGAAGCTGAAATCTTCACCCCACCTCCTCAGGTCCATGAGCGCAGCGTCCAGTCGGACTTCCTGCTGACCATCCTCAGAGATGTCGTCATGAAGAGATCGGACCTGCAGCTCATCCTCATGAGCGCCACGGTGGACTGCCAAAAGTTTTCCAACTACTTCAACCGCTGCCCAGTGGTAACCATCCCAGGCAGGACTTTCCCAGTGGAGGTGAGAGGAGGAGTTTGTGTTTGTTGGATGAAGAAACAAACGTATTTTGAACATTTTTGTCTGTTTTCATTTAAATGGATCGTGTGTTTTTTTTAACATCTATGAGACAGAAGTTTCTCGATAGTAAAGAAAAAAGTACCTAAAGGTAAAAGACAAACCAGTGTTTGCTTATCTTTTGCAAAATTTAAAATGGAAATTTAGTTAAAGAAACAGATCAATTGTGTCACAAAGATGCATGTGCGTTTTATCAGATTTAAAATATGTCTAATAAAGTGGAAAAAAAACATAAATACGTTGCTTCACCGTATAAGTGACATCTATTATGCATCACTGTTGACCACCTGGAAATGTGGGCCACTGTTCCAAAAATCAAATGGCTGCCGCGGGAGCATGCACGGGAGGACTTTAACAAGAATTTAACAAGATTAACACCTAAAAACAATTATTTGATTGCTCGAAATTATAGCAAAGGAGTGTCTCAGTTTAAATTTTCCTTAATAAATGCACTTTAGCAGTCGAATCAGTTGCATTTCAAAAGCTGATTTGCGACTGCGGGAGCGCACAGAGGGATGACTCGCTGTGCATTTCGTCAAACTTTACCAAGACAACCACCTAAAAATAATTATTTGTTTGCTTGACATTATAGTAAAGGTGTGTCTCAGTTGAACTTTTTCTTAATAAATGCACTTTAATGGTCAAATCAGCTGCATTTCGATTGGGCGCTGCGGCAAAATGCAGCTGATTTGACGTTTGCTCCAGGAGTTCTGGAACAAGATGAAGGTGGCCCTATATGGCAAGCCAAGTGTCTCATTAATAGTTACTTTTACTTGTTAATGAGACACTTGGCTTGCCATACAACTTGAGGGCCCTCTAGCAGCTGAAAATGGTAGTGTTCAATATTTTTTATGTCAGTATGAATGAAATCATCAGATATCAGCCAAAAATTGGGTTATAAATAAGGGGAAAAACATATATTAGTCATTTTGGTGTATAAGTCGCAGGACTTGCAAATTGATGCCAAAAGGTGCGACTTATACAACGAAAAATACGGTAAGCAAAAAAGCTGCCAATGTCTTTAAAAATAAATTAAAAGACTGTAATTCTTAAGATCAGCATAAGAATTAGAAGAAAGTTCAGCTCTTTAAAATCAAAATGAAGAGGTGATGTTGTTTGCAATAAGAATTTATAAAATCAAAATTTTCATGGTTGTGCTGCTTTTAAAGAAACAGCTGTGCAAAATTTGTTTGTTTGTTTTTGTTTCTAGGTGTCTCATCTGGAGGATATAGTGGAGCAGACTGGGTACATTCTGGAAAAGGACTCCGAATATTGCCAGAAAATTTTAGAAGAAGAAGAAGTCGTCTCTGTCTGTGTCACACAAAAAGGTGGCAAAGCTTTGCAGCACCAGGTAACTTTGTATTGTAGGAGGTTTTTCTAAATCTGGCAAAGAGTACAGTATTACCACCAGATTATTTTACCAAATCCGTCAAGTAAAACATTCAAAAAGGTCATGAAGGAATTCGAACTGTGCAGTTGTAACATAAAACACAAAAGTTCAGACTGATCAGAAACTTGTTTTAAATGATTTCATTTTATTTTCTTGATTATAAAGTCTTTATTGCAAAGTCTTGCCTACAAAATGAAATTGAATTGCTACAACAACAACAAGCGCACGGTAAAATCTTCAATAAATAGACACAAAACCACCTGATATAAGTCCAAAAAAGTTAAGTCAGGTCCTCTGGACGCTCAAAAACATACACAGAAAAAAATTGTAGAAACGTTTCGTGATATACGATTAAAAAATGAGAATGTTATAAAATAGAAGTGACTCGCAGACTTTTTGTCCTTAATAATCAAACAAAACAAAAAGAAGGATTCTGATGAGAAATGTTTCTGCTTCCACTTCAAATTTCTGCTTTATAAGTGGCATATTTAGTTTCTCTTCACTTTCAGTGATTAAAAACAACAACTTCCCCTTAGCCTTTTCTAAATCATGGATTGGTGTTAGTGTCAGCGTGCTTCTGTTTGTTTTAGGAGTTTATAGCGAGGGACTCCTCCTCCGGCTGGGATCTGGGTCCAGATCTGGACCACTTCAGCAGCAGAACTCGGCAGGTGCTGCAGTACATGAACCCTAACAAGATCAACATGGACCTGCTCCTGGACCTCCTTCACTACCTGGGTACAACTACTGACGCCTCAAAGATCACAATCATTTACATTCACGCGATGTGACATATGTTTTATTCTTTCTTCATGCCTCTGCCAGACAAGTCTCCGCAGTTTGCAGACATGGATGGAGCCGTGCTCGTGTTCCTCCCAGGTCTGGCTCACATCCAGCAGCTGTACGACCTGCTCACTTCAGACAAGAGGTTTCGGGACAAAAATAAGTAATCTATTACAAGATCCAGTAATCCAATGAACTGTACCAAACTCTGGAAACAGAATAAGTGATGTCACACTCTGCAGGTACAGGATTGTTGCCCTACACTCAACTCTGTCATCTAAAGAACAGGCAGCTGCCTTCACAGTGCCCCCTGCTGGAGTCAGAAAGGTACTGCTAAGTTAGACCTCAGAAATGCAGTGAGTTAATTGTATGAAATATCTCAAACTTACCTGTGGGATCTTCTTTTAGATTGTATTGTCGACCAACATCGCAGAGACGGGCGTGACTATCCCTGATGTGGTGTTTGTTATTGACACTGGGAAGACTAAAGAAAACAAGTAGGAGTCATTTTTCTGTTTTTATATCTGATTTTAGTCTGATTATGTCGAATCAGACTGTTCTTACTGAAGCTTTATTATTAGATCTGATTAATCACATCAACTATTAATCTACCTGAGTGTTTGTGCTCTGAAATAATAATACAAAGAAACTAAACATTAATGCCAGCAGGTTTACAGTTTAGCACATCTCATCAGCCACTAATAAGCTTTATAGTCTAGCTGAGTTTGTTATTGGATCTCTGGATATTTTCACACATTTTTTAAAAGATAAATGTAAAAAAACAATTATTTGTTTGCTCGACTTTATAGCAAAAGTGTGTCTCAGTTGAACTTTTCCTTAATAAATGCACTTTAATGGTCAAATTAGCTGCATTTCACTGGGGTGGCACAGGGAAATGCAGCTAATTTGACGGTTGCTCCAGGTGAGCTGGACGAAGATGCCGATCATGTCATTAATAGCCACTTTTTTACTTATTACATGACACAACTCCATGCCATACAACTCAAGTGCCTTATAGCGGCTGAAAATGTTAGTGTTCAATATTTTCAGTCAGAATGAATGAGAACGGTCATATCTCAGCCAAAATTTGGTTTATAAATATGAGAAAATCCATAAATACGTCACTTCGGCGTATAAGTTGCAGGGCATGCAAATTATGCAAAAAAAAAAAAGCGACTTGGCCGAAAAATACGGTAATTGTAATAAATAATAAATGCCTCCAAAGTGCAGAATTCTGGCTTTAATTTGAACATATTTAGATTTGAGCTGTAATATGAAATTTAAACTCTTGACTTTCACGAACATTTAGCAAACACTTTAATTCAAAGCAGCTGAAAAGCAGGACACAGCTTTCAAGATTAGTCTGGTTTGAAATAAGTGGTTGTAAATATTTTGTGCTAAAATGACGTAAAGGACAGACTACAAGCAGAACGAGGAAAGCATTGCACAATAAATGTAATTTAGCATTAAGTTTCTATCTGACTGCATGTTTCTGCCCTAAGTTTGTATTTAAGTGGAAGATTAGAGAGATTAAGTTTAGTGGGACTTTGTAAAATGTTAAATTGTTTAGTTTAGAAAAATTTTCGAGGGGTTTTGATTTATGTTTTTGTGATTTGAACCTGTGAAATGCCATCCATTCGATTTAGCTGCATTTGTTTGTATCTGAACACATATTTCTGTGCGTTACAGAATTTATCTGACTGATTTAATTTCCTGTCAAATCATCCAACATAAGATCATTTTACGACTACAGTTGCTTGTTCAAATCTAAGTGTGCTGATATTAATTATGTTATTGTGTGTGTTAACTTGTGAACAACTAAATTAACAATGTTTGTGATAATTTGTGACTGATTTAATGTCTAAAATGATATGAGGAGACATAACTGGCTTCTTCTGTGTTGCTCAGGTACAGTGAGAGCAGCCAGATGAGTTCTCTGGTCGAGACGTTTGTCTCCAAAGCCAGCGCCCTGCAGAGACAGGGGAGAGCAGGACGGGTCCGAAACGGCTTCTGCTTCAGACTCTACCCCAAATACAGGTTTGGAGCTCGTCAGCCGATGGTGATAAGTTTGGTGGAGCCTCAGTGAGAACAAACTATAGAAACAATGCAGTGTGCATGCTGAGTGACTGATGGAAATGTCCTGAAAAGTTGAATCTGAGATGTTTAAACAAGCAGAGCACATGCTAAAAGCTAAAATGAGCAAACACTAGCTAAAACACCAAAAGTAACAATGATGGGTAGGTTAAGTAGAAAGTTAGAGCTAAAAGTAATAAAAAGGCTAACTGAAACGAAAAACAGGTAAAGGGTAGCTTAAAGTAGCAAAAAGGCTAGCTAGAAGCAGTACCATTGTTAAAAGCTAAAAATAGTAAAAGTTTTTCCTGAAAGTAACATTACAGTAGCTAAAAGGTAAAAGTAGCAAATGTTTAGCTACAAGCTCAAAGTAGCAAAACAATAGCTAAATACAATGGTTTTAAAAGAATTGTGGATCTGAGTGTGTTTTAAGAGGAATGTATTTGTAAATAAAATGTATTATTTTGGAAAAGTGTAAAAGTTACAAAAACTTGAACAAGCTGAACGAATGTATGACAAGGCCCGTCAC